CTCCCTGGTTCTGGCCTCGGCCTCCGGGAATGTCACCTACGAGCACACCCACTGGATGTCACTGAGTCAAGGTGACTTAACATCAACTCAACTTATTTCTTCAGCTGCTGCTGGTAAACTGTGTGCTCAGTAGTTCACTTCCCCCTGGTTTCTTGTCACTGCCACTCTGGTCCTCTGCCATTGAAGACACCCGACACTGATGGCAACCTGGGCATGTGCCCCGACCGCCACCTCTCGGTGCCTGGGGCAAAGCCACCCAACGGAGCACACGGCCAGGGCGTAACATTTATTGGGCACTTACTCTGTGCCAGGCACTATTCTAGGAGCTTTACATACATCTAATTGAACCCTCACAACAACCTTATGAGGTGGGTACTATTCTTATCCCCCTATGAGAGAAGGAAGCTGAGGCCCAGAGAGAAGCAAAACACGCTGCCCACGGTTGCGTGTCAGTTCCAGGAGCTCAGAGCCGCTGCTCTGGGCCTCATCCCTCACCTGCGCTGCAGAGGTTGGATAAGAGGGCCTTTCCACTCAGAAACCCCAGGATGACTGGCTCTGCTCCAGCGACTTAACAGTTCCTGTGACCACACCGCACTCACTGGTTTCTGTCCCCTCCTCTGATGCTGCCCAAAATTCCCAGCATGAGTAAGATCCATGTGCCTGGGATCCTCACTGATTAAGGTTTTCTGACTTACGACAACTCAGGTGTAGAACCTTAGTAAGTCTGGTCATAAAGAATTAGAAATGCTTATAACTGTTCACACGTCAATAAGGTGTAGGTGAACTAGACAATAAAAAACAAGTGACAACAGGCAGCTAACTTGTTGGTACAAATGCCGTGGGGTACACATGCAACAAAAGTGAGGGCAGCATTCACACAGCACGTACTACACGCCAGGAAGAGCGAGAGGCCTTTGTGCGATGGCTCCGTGTCGCGTCCTCACGACCCTGTGAGGCAGGCATGGTCCTGGTCTCCTCACAGGTGGGGAGGCTCAGTCACGGGCGCGGTCGCACTAGGAAGGGAGAGCTGAACGGGAACGGTCCACTCCAGAGCCTACACGCCTCTCCTTTCCTTGCTCTCACGATTCTTCAGAACGTGGACAAGAGGAGGGAGAGGGAAAAACAGTCCATTTATATTTGAGTCCCTCAAATTAAAATCTCAACTATATCCTCAAAATGATTTATGTCTCATATAAAACAGCGTGTAAGATGCAAATCTGCGCTTCATTTTCTAGGAGGGGTTATATTTCTAACCTCTTGAGTGGCCTTCCAGAAAGAATCATGACCATCTGAAGTTCAGGTGACCGTTCGGGGGGGGGGGGGGGGGGGGGGGGGGGGGGCAGAGGCCTTTGAAACTCTGACAAAAGCTACGTATCTGAGCTCTTTCCTCAAGAAAATGAATTTTCCACAGATACAGAAACCTCCCGCCTACCACTATGGACTGGAGGCTCTGGACTGTCTGGGGCCCAGGGTAGGAACCTCTGATCACAAATGTGATGCAATAAGCAAGCACACAAATGCAGAGGGCGGCCCTTTCTGTAAACGTCACACGTGGGAGGAAGCGCTGCGGCCCAGCATGGGAGAGAGCTGCTGGCCATCCGTCCGTGGAGTCTGTCTGCACAGTGACACTAGCCAGTCCCACCACGGCTGGATGGAGGGGGCACAGGTGTGGGGGAAAGACCAGTGCACGGTGACAACCACACCTGCCTTGCGGCATGCAGAGCCACCCTTACCCTCGTCAACATGTAGTGCTTGCTGTGTGCCAGGCACTGCATCAAGCCCATTGGATAGATGATCTCGTTTATTCTCCTAACAAACGAGAAAACAGTTCAGGCAACTGAGGCACAGAGCCCCTAAGTGGCTTGCCCCTTAGGGTCATACAGTTAGCAGGTTGAAAAGCCACGGTCGGTGCCCCAAACAGACCCCAGAGCCTGTGCTCTTAACTCTCCACTCCGTGCCTCCAAGCCTGGGCTCGCGAGCTGAAACCTGAGCTGGGAACCAAACCCAAGAGGAGTTATCACGCAGCCTCCTACAACTTCCCGCACACCAAGCGCATTAAAACAAAGCCGTCCGTTCCATTCATCAGCTTCTCCAAGAGCACGTGTGAAATGTCGTCTAAATTCTCCCAATCCGAGGCAGTAAATACTACGCAAACAGACATCCCTACACCCCACCACCGAACATGTCATCTCCTAGGAGTGTGTTCGCTCTCATTGTGCTGAAGAGTTAAAAGGCTTTGAAAACTTGTATGTCCAGAAAGAACTAGATCATGTTCATTTTGGATTGCCAAAGCCCGGCAAGCTTCCTAGCTCAACAAATGTCTGTGAATGAGTGGTACGTTTTATCAAGAATCTATCATTATAAAATAAACATTAAGGAACAGCTATACCTGAAACCAGTGATGATGATGTATTAAAGGTTTTTTTAAAGTGTAGAATTTTCTCATGCCATTTTTACAAATGTTTCAGTATATACGAAAGACACACGCTCTCTATAACAAGCAGCCAACAAGCTATGATCCACAGTTAATACTTAGCATCAACCTCTCCTCTCATAGATGAACAGCTTAGCAACAGAGTATAAAGTTTGTGGCAACAAACA